GACAACCCCCCATTTACTGTCCATCTGACCAGCTTCACTGTCTAATCATCTGAATTTGTTGCTCCCGAATTACAGGGCATTAAAGTAACTGGACAGTAATCAGGTCAATAAAGAGCTTTGTTATTTAAGAGTGGCCTTTGTCACTCTCCCATCACTTCAGCCTTATGATTTTCTTAAGAAATCCCAAATCAGGGCTCTCCCTGGTGGCGCAGCCGGTTAAAGCACTGCACTAAGAAGCTAAAGCCACTTCCACATGAGTTCGATTCCCGCCTGCCCTGGAGGTGACCAGCAGGTGACCAGACCTCTCCGGACCCGCTGCTCCCCTCAGCAGTGTACTTCGTAGATCTGCCTGTTCTCTCCACTCTGTCTCTGGTGAAGCCTCTTGCCGCCCCTGAGCCTCTGGCCTGTACCCCAGTTCTGTATGCACAAATAAATAAATCTTTAAAAAAAAAAAAGAAAAGAAATTCCAAATCATTTGTTGTGGTTTTTAAGACCATCATAGAAAGAATCTGTAAAAAAAAAATGATTAAAGGAACAAAGATAAAGGCTATGTGTATACAATATCTGAAATAAAAGATCAAAATCAATGGTAGTCAATTAACAGATTAAAATCTCATCGATGTTTATGTTAAAAATGTTTACCATATAAGACAACAGTGGTTCTCCCTAAGAGTGATTTGTTTAAGTGACGGAACAGTAGTTCATATTTAAGAGCACATTAAATATTACCAACACAGATAACCTACTTTTTCTAGATACTGGTATCTCAAGTTATTGACAAAATGCCTAGTGTGCTAAAGACCTTTATTTTCTCCTCATACATACCAGAGCAGAGAAAAATCCAGAGTCTTCACTAAGGTCACCCAGATAGTGACTGAGGCCAGGTTAGCGTCAGAGCCCAGCGGTGTTTACTTCAACCCTGCGCCCCTCCGCCACACTCCGCCACTGCTGCCTTGCACCAACAAGGCCTTCCCAGGAATGACAGAACTCTAGGTCCTCAGGACACTGGACGCATCCATTCAACATCGCTGCACCAAAGTCTCCAAAATCCCTTTAGACTTCAAGCACAGAACTAGTCCTTCTACTTGAGCCCCCACAGCTGAGTTGCTCGCTGCTGAGGCACTCACTGCTTGGCACTGCGTGGGGTCTCATGTTTTGTCACCACCTTTATTTGGAAGTTTCCACAGGAGACGGCAGATGTCAGCCTCTTTGCAAGGCCAATGTAAAGGCTCAAGCAGTTTATACACAATGCTTAACAAAGTGCTGTGCAGCTCTTTCCAAAGAAAAAGGGATGAAAAACCTTAGTTGATTTTCGGAAATTATGACAAGGACACCTAAGATATAACATTTTACAAACAAAAGGTAAAAGGAAAGTATCTACAGATACAAGTTTTGTGCTTTTAGCCTTAAAGAACTAAGTCCTGCTTTTGATATCTGAAAAGAAAAATAGAAAACGTAACTCTAACTAAGGTAGACTAACATTTTGTAAGATTTTACATATATTTAAAACATTTCCCTTTCTTTAAAATATAAATATAGGGCCTCCCTGGTGGCACAAGGGGTTAAGTCTATTCACGATAAAGCTATTACAAGCAGCTACAGCAGCAGGAGTTCAATCACTGGCCAGGGAGCTGACCCACAGGGCACGGCAGACCCTGTCTCCCTGCTGCTCCCCTCAGCAATCCACCTGTTTGTCAGTCCACCTGTTCTGCTCCCCAGTCTGTCTCTGGTGAAATGTCTCAATCCTCCCCGCACTGATGGCCTACACCCCAGCTCATGTATGCAGAAATAAAGTATATCTTTAAAAATATATAAATAAGGCCCTCCCTGGTGGCACAGCGGGTTAAAGCACTACACTAAGAAGCTAAAGCAACTTCAACGTGAGTTCGATCCCCGCCTGCCCCGGAGGTGACCACATGGTG